TATCACTTAACCAGTGCTACTAGGCATTCAATTTTACTGTTCTTTCTAAATGGTGCCTGAAGGATTTGCAACATTGTAACTCCATACGTAGACATAACTTGTAATCCTTCTATTCTCCTTTTTCCCCAAGATCTATTAGGATAAATCTTCTTATACATTTCGTTGGGGGGGTGATTATTTAATTGCATCTACCCCAATGAGTTGTTTACCAAATCGGTGCAATTGATGTTCAATCCTGAAGAGAGGGAAGATATCCATTCAAAATGGGTTTTATATGATCCAATAAATAATCAATCATATTGAAATATTCCTGGTTTTCTCTATTCTGTTGATAAAGGAGCTCAAGCCTTCTTTAGATATGTAGTTTCTTTTCTGAGATTCTATGTTGTTTTGATACTTTTGAAATATTATGAAGATCTAGGATTATATTTGTGCCTCCTATCCCTAGAACTTTTGACAGAGCAAATGTTATTACTCTCATAGAGAATGGTAATAGGTCAGTGTTTTTTCTGCGCAAAAGAAGGATGAGCCGCCCCTGCCCCATCCCTAAAGTTGAACCTGAACACCTTTTCGTCCCCACATTTCCAAGCACCATGTCTTTCCTCCAAGCTTTCCTTTTGGAATATGGAATTGGAAAGTAATCTCGTCAGTATAAATTACCCTATATCTAACCATTCTCACCATTCCTACGGCTTTATTTTTTTCTTGTCTATTATGAAAAAGAACTTTTGAATATCGTCCTTTCTCACCATTCTCTCCACCTGCAGCAGCTTATACTTCTCCCCGCATTTTTCAATACTTTTTGGTTTGGTTGCCATGCCTTCCCATTTTTTTTTCTGATAAGAAAGGGAGACCTTGTTAAAAACCCCCTTCATATCCTAAGGTAACTCGACGGACATTGGAAGGAGGAAAAGGGTGCCTCAAAATTTTATTACCAACGAAATAAACAGTACATTATAACCATTACAATAGTTTCACCTAACAGCGGACAATACAACCTATAATAACCAAGAAACACAAGTTCATCCAATTCCTATCTTAGCTAACTGATCCGCTTTACAATTCACAACTCTACTAACATGTTTTACAATAACATTCCTATCTACTACCAAAGAACCAATTTCCTTGACCAGCGAACTAAATAGCATAGGACAAGAACTCGGACACTTGATCCAGTCAACCGCTTTACTGCTATCGCTCTCCAAAATGAGTCTACCCCTCGAGTTCCAACTCGAATTCAAGAAGAATAAAAGACCGGCTTTGATAGCCAAAAGTTCGGCCAAAATTGGAGGGCCCAACCCAACACTCTCGGTAAAAGTTCCCAGCACCGCCCCGTCTTCATCCCTAAGTAAACCACCAATACCCCCTTTATTCCAAGACTTCTCCACCGCTCCATGCCTTCCCATTTTCTCTGTTCTTTTTTCATCTCTGCATGTTGATGCTTTCATTGGCAAGCCTGACGGCCTGCCAATCTCCTGCTTTTTATCTGTTTTTCATTATTTTCCTTTTCTTTCATATCCTCTTAATTCCCTGTTTAAAGCTGTGTGGACTTGCTCACACTCTAAAATTTAAGCCTCATTTCCCAGCTTTTTGTGTTTTCTTCTTTGGCCCTAAGAAACATCTCTTTGATTCCACTTCCTATTGCTACTGTATGCGTAAACTTTGAATTGACATTTTTTGTTTCTCTTTTTCTTTTCTCATTATGAGAACTAGATAAGAAAAAGAAACATGAAATAAATAAATATTCAGACCGGTCAAGATTTATGCACTGTTTGAAATTTGTGCAAGCAAGAAATCTCTTTCTCAAGGATGAAAATTTTCTTGAAGGTGATCGCATCTTGATTTGTGATTGAGTCTCTGGTTTTTGTAACTAAGCTTGCGTCTATGCATGGCAAATGTGGGCCACATGATTATGTTAAAGTGTTTGATGGAGTGTTTGTGTGAGATTTCTGTTTCAAACGTGAGATTGTTGGTGTTTCAAATTGCGAGTCATTTGATGCTCATTTATGTATCTCTTGTTTGTATAGTTACTGTTCTCATAGCTGAATTATTGGCAATTTTCATAAACTTTAGTAGTCTTATCTGTAAATTGGTGCAGGATGACATATTACCTAAGTTGATGACATCCACTGGCTCCTATGAGGATCTTTTCAGGAAGGAGATAGCGAAGTATGATCACATTTGTGAGGAAATTGCCCAAAACATTGAGGCACAAGAACAATTATTGATGCAAATTCAGGTTTAATTATCTCTTCTTTTTTATTCTTCCCTGATCATTTTGATAGTATTTTGAAACAACTGTATATTAGTACTCTAACTAGACTATGTCTGATAATTGATGTAAAAACTAAGGGTAATTTGCAATCAAGTGAATATAACATATTTTCGTTTTTCCATGTCATTGTTTGGCACTCGTAAAGCAATGGAACATTTGGTTCATAATACATTGCATCTTAGTTTTAATGGTAGAGTTGGGCCCTTTTTCTGAGGGTGGCTATGATGTTTGCTCCGTGTGGCTGGTAGCGTATAATAAATCCTTATTCTTCATCCTGAATGATTAACTTAATTAAATGAGCTTTCATGCCTTGAGGAATGAATTATTTATTCCTATAAAAAAAGGAATGAATTATTTATTGAGAATATTAGAAGGAAAAAGGATAAAACTTTGATGAACATGAGTGCATTTATTGGAGACTTTTATAAATATGCCATCTTTTGGGTCTTCCATAAGCCTACTAGTTTTTATTTAAGACAAATAATTTTAAATGAAAGATTCCTTCTTCCTCCCTCACTTACTTCTCTCTCTCTTCCTCTGTGGTAAATATATAAGGATGGAGATAGTCTTGGATGCATCAACTTTGGTCCTCACATGAAGTTAATTTGCATGATATTCTAGTTTCCTTCACCTTCTAATGCCGTAAATTTTAGATTTTCATTTTTGCTGATTATTAGGAAATGTACCCTGAATGATTGACAGTGGTTTTTGTTTTATTGATTTGCCTTCTGCAGGCTCAGAATGAAGAATTTGGTGCCGTATTTAATCTTGAAGATTATAAAGGTACATATTTCTTTGAATGTATATTTGATATTATTATTATTATTATTATCATCTTTTTTAGGGAATCTCATATGCGTGCATTAAACTTTTTGTGCTTGGTGTGTCTAACCCAACACTGAAGATGTTTTATATGTATCACGTATAGTTTGTCTAAATATGTAAATCCTAATTACATTGCAGTTCGATATTTGGAACCAATACTTGTCTAAAGTTTAATTTGTTATAACAGTCATGTTCATTATTCAGTGCAATGATTTGTATGGTTATTTCAGTCTAAGTTCTGATGTTCACTATGACAAGATCGGTGTTTAATGTTTTATTTTGTTTCAGCATCACGAGAGAAGTGTTACAAACAAATTCAAGCTGCTTTAGCAAAGTGTAAAGAAATCAAGGATAATATTAACGAGGGACTGAAGTTTTATGTTACTCTTCAGGTAAGAAATTGCATATCTATTACTTTAGGCAGTATTTTGAAGTTGGTTCAATAATGTGGCATATGCATATGTATTAAGTTGCTTCTTTTGTTAAACAGGATGCACTCAATAATATCAAGCAGCAATGCAGTGATTTTGTGATGACTCGAAACATCCAGTGTCGAGAAATGATGGAAGACGTTCAAAGGAAAATGGCAGGTTTCAGCTTCCAGGAACGTGAGAGCGCAGGTCCATACCCTTCAGTTGGACAGCCCCGGCCAACTCCAAGACCCGGTTCACAGCAGATAACAGAACCTCAGAGTATATCCCATCCTCCACCGCAAATTCCTTACTATAGGTCTGCTGAGCAGCCAATGCACACGTACAGTCATCCGCCTCCTCCTTATACTGCCCCACAGCAACCGCCTCCTTACCATGTTCACTCATCTACTGCTGCTCCTTATCCTCCCCCATCTTCCACTGCTCCTTATCCTCCCCCACATGCCCTGTTACGTCCGCCAGTCGGCCATGAATATGGTCAACCCGCCTATCCCGGGTGGCGTGGGCCTTATTATAATGCCCCTGCGGAGCAACCCGGGTCTCTTCCTCGACCACCATATACCACTCCAAATCCGTATCATCCCCACCAAAGTGGTTATTATAAGCAATGATCATCTAGTCCAACGTTTTCTTTAAATATATTTTTTATGATACTGTATTTTGTGTTTTCCCTCTTCTTCTCATCTGCTGTACAATGGATTGGATTCAAAGTAGATCTTGACGTGTAGCATATTCATTTGGAGTATTTGACGATTGTTGGCTCCCCTAATAATGTCTGAATGGCCTCGTTTTGTTTAATTATTGTCTGAATGTAATTGATGACATCCGTTCCATTTTTATTCATTATTATTCAGTAAAAGTTTAATTACTATTCATCATCAATCATAAGCACGATTTATATGATTTATATGAGTTCAACACATATATATGGTAATAATTAATTCACTATAAAATAATAGGAAAATAATAATTAACATAATCTAAACCCATTATTTTCCGCTGAATTCATGTTAATAAAATAAAAATATTATTTTAAGTAGAATATTATACTTTTTCTAACTGAAATTATAATTTATTTTTATTAAGAATATTACCATATAAATTTCCATCGTAAATAGTTGTTTTTCAGGTGTGTCGGCAAGAGAAATTAATTTTCGGGGGAAGTAGCACTTGTGACGACAGTTTTAGCGCAAATAATTCGTCGGTAGTAGGGGTCAAGGTCTATGCTTTGTGGATTTTAGTTAATATCAATTTTATTGAATCAACTAAAACTGTAAATTATTCTTTTGTCACTAAAATGAACATTGTAATGAAAATCCAATGATCAATCCCATTATTTGGATATAAGAATAAGAGAAAAAAATAGATAATAAAAAACAAAAATTTCCAATAAGCCAACTGAATCGACTATTACATGTTCGTTTAAGAAGAGATTTAAACGCCATAGCGAATCAAAACATGGAAAATATAAGATAAATAATAAGCAAGAAAGAGAACAGAAAACTATTCATGGATGGTCTGAAGCATGGGACGCCAAGCCTTCCTCAACAGCATCCTATGTCTAAACCCGATCCAACTCGGCCGAGGTGATCCCGGTTCACCTCCAAGTCCGTTAAGACCATCGACTTTCGTTGCTAAAACTACTTCACTCTTTCCGCCGAATCTCTCCTTAACAATTTTACAGTCGTCGTCATTTCCTTCTTCTAGCGACGGACACGATACGAATAAATCCTTCAAAGTGTGACCGTCGCCCTTCTTTTTCTCAGATGAAATGTCGATGTAACTACGCGGATACGGCATTTCCCGAGTATTGGATGACTTACGACTACCAGTTCTGGTGAGGAGCATTCGCAGTGTGGTTTTAGGGCGACGGAAATTGAAGAGGGGACTCGTACTTGGACTTCTCGTGGGGCTTTGGGCGACGCCGCATTGCGTCGCTAATACCTTGAATTTCTGCAACGTCGACATGTTTGGTTAGCTCCCCTCTATTCTTTCTTTGGGCGTTTAATAGTGATTGGGAATTTGAAAGATGGCAGAATGATTGAGAGGGTGAAATTTCGTTTTTGGGTGGGTTTGCTTCAAAGCAAAAGAAAAGAATCAAATGTTGGAGATTTCTGTGTTTGTTTTCTTCGGCATGCTTTTTCTTTTTTCCTACACTTTCAAAAGTGAACCCTTTGAATGGAATTTATCTTTTCCCTTGGAAGAAATGAAAGGTAGACCCAAGGAGGAGAAAGAGGCATTGTAGGGTGCATTTTCCCAGAAAATTCTAAATTTTGACTCCTAAATGGGAAGACCAATCATTTCTATAATTTTTTTTCCTTCCGGATCTTGTTTTGAGGGACCGTTCATACTTGGGGATGGGGATGGACACGGGGTTAGGTCGGGTTGGATCAGATTTTTGGTCTACTCGACTCGATCTGAGAATAAAAAATCTCCACTCTAGATCCGATCCGATTAAAATAAGATTTTATTTGATCAAACCTCGACCTGATATATAATTTAAATACCCGATCTGACCCGACCCAAAATAATAAAAATATTATTTTTATTCAATAAAAACAATGACTTAATTGGAAAAAAAATATAGAGGAGTATTATTATAATTATTCCTAAATATATAAGTTAAAATTATATATTTTTCGGGTCGAGTATTTTTCACCCCGACCCGAACTTGATTTTTTTTATAAAAAAACCGACCCTATTCATACTTCACAAATTTATTCCCTGCATTAGGTTTAGCTTTTATTTAGGATTTAAACCCTTGTCCGTTTCCGGAATAATAATAATAATAAAAATGCCGTCTAAAACTGTTATTTTATAATTTTAATATCCATAATGGTTGTAATAATATTTATTATTATCATAATCGTGATAAACGTAATACTATTAGAAATACTAATGCAATTGTAATTTAAGTTCTTAATTTTAGGGTTAATTCATTTATCAATCATCAAAATCGAATAAGGTGATAGCTGAATATCCTTGATAAGATGTATATTATCATTATTTTAATTTTTTAATATAAAATTAATTAATCTTTTTTTCCTTCAAAACAATATAACAACATTGTCATTTTTATGATAATGGGAAGCGAATTATCTATCATTGAAATTAGAGAGGGTGACAACCTGATATCGGATAAAAATGTATTTAATAAGATGTATAATAGCTTTAAATTTTTTATTTTTAATATAAGATTCATATTCTTACCTCTTTAAACGTGACATTGTGCAATGATAGAGTACCACATACATGATATTTATGAAACAATGTAACAACATTGTTACCTCTATGATAAGAAGCCATGTAAAGGATCTTCCCATATGAACTTTAGATATATATATATATTAATATAGAAAAGTTTAGGTCGGGGTAATTCATCTAGTCAGGGCTAGGACATACCTAAGACATAATTGAGATTTACATATAAATTTATATGTTACCCACTTAAAGTGATGGTGGTAGAATTTAGTTTTACAAGCTTAAATTCCTTAATCACAACCACTTGTATCAATACTCGTTGATGAATATTATACAATATATAGTATGGATACTTTCCATTTTACATATGGCCAAGGTGGCTGTTTAGGTGATCATATTTTTAAAAAATTTAAATATATATATATATAATTTATATTACTTTTTATTAATAATCTAATTTCGTACTTATGAAATTGTATACAAATTATAATTTTATATTTTCTAAAATTTAATATAACTTATAAAAGTTAATGCTTCCCGATATAAATGCGTCCATTCTTATCATTTACTATTTAAATTTCCTCCGGAAAAAAAGAAAATAAGAACATGGCCATAAGAGTTGAATGTAAAGCGGGATAGTGAAGCAAAACTTATTCACTGGCATTAGGTGTAGTTCTCTGGCTAATCCATTTATCCGTCACCGAAATCGGAGAAGCTGGCTGCCGGATATCCTTCAATAATACAATCTGATCGCCCGTCAGCGGTGAAGGAGGTGGTCTTATACTCGTCATCACCTCACAATCAGTGTGTTCCTCCTGCTGCACTTTCTCCAACTCGTAAGCATCACTTTGTATTATCTGTAGTTCCACCAAAACCTCTTGCATTGAAGGGCGCAGTTCTTTCTCTTGTTGCAAACATCGAAAAGCCAGCTCCGCAACCAAAGTAGTCATCCCTGTAACTTGTTCACATGATTTGTACCCAAGATGAGTGTCAATCAGCTCATCAAATGCACACTTTTGAATCTTGTTTATTGCTAAAGTTGCCAAATTAATCTCATGCCTATGCCTGGAGATATCGACAGCCGGCATCGATGATATGAGTTCGATGAGGACAACTCCGAAGCTATAAACATCACTCTTTTCAGTAAGCTGGTAACATTGGTGATATTCTGGATCAACATAGCCAGGGGTCCCTTGTGGAGCAGTTGATATATGCGTGACATCGTTTGGTAATAAACGAGAAAGCCCGAAATCCGCTACCTTGACAGAGAAATTATCGTCGAGGAGAATGTTTGTAGTCTTGACATCGCGGTGTATGATGTCGGAGGCATGGAGATAAGCTAACGCAGTCGCGGTTTCTACCGCAATGCTCATTCGAACAGGCCATGTGAGTGAACCAGACTGTGCACGATCACCATGGAGATGATCGGAAACGGTGCCATTAGGAATGAACTCGTAAACAAGGAGAAGTTCCCGGCTACGTCGCGAAGTGCAACCGTAGAGGGAGACCAAATTCTTGTGGCGCAAGCGGGTTAAGATTTCGACTTCGTTAACAAACTGTTGGTGTCTTCTAAAATTGTGTTGGTATAGCCGCTTGATTGCAACTTCTCGCCCATCTCGGAGTTTACCTACATCAAAACCAATGAGAGAATATCAATCAATTCATCAAGCTTCTGCGAGGTTAAAAACATGCAATTTACTGTCTGTCTTACCATAGTAAACAGTCCCAAAACCACCACCTCCAAGCACTTTATGATCATCAAAATTATTGGTGGCTTCCATAAGTTCATTATAGGAGAAAATGAGAAGGCCAAAGCAAATAGCAGAGCTATTTTCCAGGTCAGATTTTGACGAGAAATTGGATGAAGAGACATGTTCTTGTTTGTGTCGACGACATAAGACAAAGATGCAGAACAGCAGTATCAGTAGAGCGACTGTGGATCCAATTCCTACGTAAAATCATAACAAAGAAGACAATTATGCAAAACATCAGTATCCTTCATAACAAGGAAGAGTTATTTTTTTTGTTTATATTCTGGAAACAGAGAGAGATTACCTAGTCTGAGTTTCAGTCCCATTTTGTTCGTCCCTACAATTCAAGTTGCAAAGAACAATGTTAGCTTTTACCCTCCAAAAAAAGAAGAGGCAAGTGCACTTTGTCCATGATAATTCACAAGTCAAAACCAAGTCACTTTTGTCATTACATATTCAAATTTTCTCATAAATGCATCATCTTCCGTGAATTAGAAAAAAGTGGGGGGAAATGCAGCAGACGTTTAGGTATACCTTTACTACAGTAAAATCTCTGTTTTCTAGCTAGGCATATACCGCCTCTCGCATGACAACTCCAACAAGAAGGAAATACGTGAACTTTGACAGATACAATTAGCTGAATAGTTGAACAAATACAGATACTTGGTGGTCGACAATCGTATATGGTGTAATTGTCACGGGGTGTGAGGCTGTGTGTATTTGAAAGGCTAGCATTCAAGGCTTTGCATTTACACGAGGTTAAATTGGGAGCTATTTCGAAAGAGGCATATGGAAGATTGGGAAAACCCAAATTATTCAAGGATCGACGTTCCATCTGCTTTAACTGGTTGGCTGGGATTTCATCGGAAATGGTAAGAGTATCACCTTGGGAGATTGTGTAAACTTCATACCATTTTCTATTTTTTCCTTCACGTGTTAGCTGCACCTGGACACTTTTGTTGGAACTTTTGCAACCCTTAACTACAAACAATCCGCAGTCTGGGCGATCCTCTTCGGTGAATGGGAATTTTAAGTCATAAAGTTTTCCACAAGTGAAGCTTCGGCAATACCTGTGGAGGTGATTTCCGTCGTCTTCAGCCGTGCGAAGAAGCGAGAATTGCGAGAGAACGACCAAGACAAAGAAGGGTATGATAGGAGTCATTTGAAGATATAAAAAATCAGAGTTGAGAGCCAAGTTGTCTCACTTAAGCTTTCTTATATATCATATAGTAGTATTCCTTCTTTCTTGAGGCAGAAAAACTTAAGAAAAAGGGGATTGGTAAGGAAGACGAGAAAAGTGGGCATAGCATTTAAATTAGACATGTGATGGCAAAGTCTGTATCATTGGTGTCAAACACTAATTGCATGGCTTGTTTGAAACGTTGAGATAAAAGTAAACTACAAAAATTTCAAAGTCTTTCACTACTTGGAGCTTGGGAGTTGGCGCTTAGACTTAAGCTAAAGTATATATAGAATATGGGTCCAGACTTGACGTATCATTCGGATAGCGGTGTGAAAGAAAGAATATGTATGACTCAGATTGCGGCATGTAAAGAGGCACGCGAGTTTAGCTTTGAAACGATGTGATAATGCCTTTTCTGGAAATTCAAGGGCAAATAGAACTACTGTTCAGCGTGAAGTGGGGGGGGGGGAAAGGGTAAAACAAAACAAATCATACAAGAATCCTCCTTTACATTCTCCAGTGTTCCACTTCTATGGTAGTTGCAGAATTTGAGAACAAGACAGGTTTTACCTCTAAGCTCCAAAGAGTGAGAGAAGTTTATAATTTATGTAGGCTTAGCCTGAAATTTTCTCCATTAATGAAACAACGTCCAAACTTCCTTCAAGTATTCTGACGAACCCCACCTCTTCCCCTAAACACCTAACGCGTGTAATAGCAAAATCATAAAAGGAGGAAAAAGAACACAAACAAACAAAAGTAAGATTATGGAAGGTAACATTTCGATTGAGGATAGGAGTATGAATGTAATATTATTCAAAATTCTTTTTTGTTATAATTTTTTCTAAACAAAAATTTGAGGGTCAAAATAACGTAATAAAAGCTTAAGATATAAAATAATTAAATTGATAAAACTAAAGGGTCAAAAACACATCCTGAGTAAACGTTATATAGATAACTTGAATATAATTTGCTTTAAAAATATAATCTTAGTAAATTTTAATGTCACAATTTTTTATATGTTAGATCCAAGTTATCATTTTAGCACGAATATGTGTTTAAAAATTTAATTTATATATTATACGAATCACACGATTTCAGTGGTAAATGAACTGTTATTATTTTTAAAATTTTAGGTTTAAGTACCATAAATACAAAGCGTTTAGTGTCATTTAAAAATTTACTAACTTATGCTTACCTCATATTAATAACAAAATTACTTAATATATTCTAAATACATTCCATGTCATTTAAAAAGATTAATCGGCTAACCAAAGAATTTAATTGAAATAATATATCACCCCAGACTAACCAAATATATAAACAGGAGGTCCCTAAATTCTTTTGAACTTTAAAGTTTAATATTACAGAAATTCGGGTAATGGTATTGTGAGATTGAACTTTATAGATAATCCTAAGTCGATAGAATAATGGGTTTTGAACCGATTAAAAGAGTGATGGGTTATCATCGATTAGTACAACTACGGAACCTACTGGCTCAAGTAGAGAAAATTTTTATCCAAGGGTACCTTATTTGCAAGCACAGCAATGGAAATTGAAGGCATGTTAAGACCGCTAGAGGATTCATTGAATAACCCAATTGACACGGTAGTCGGGTCCAGAGACGGATACGGAATTTCATTTTAGGTATGAGAATTTAAGAATTTATATTAAATTAAAGGTACGAAATTATATCATCATAGAAAACACAAGTGTTGTGATGTATTTTTTTTTGGGTCTGCAGTTAGTTGGTGCTCGTGGTTTTGATCGTCTACCGGTTTAGACAGACAACGATGACGCTTTTCGGCTCCGCACGGATCTAGCTGAGCTCCATCTCGCTGGTTCGTGTAATAGTAGCGCAAAGCATTGGCTAACGCCTAAAGTTAACCGATAAGACATCTCCCTGAATTGTAATATGGTCTCTCCAAAGTTATTTGTTTCAAATCCACACATATCAGTCCCTGCCGAGTTTAGGATTGGAAAACAACAACCACACGATGCCGAGTGGCGGAGAAGGTTAATTTAGGTGGGAAATGGTTTTATAGTTCATCCGAACTCTATTATATCTTTTCACTTGTCACTCGATTTAATTCAAATTTAAGAAAATTCTATCTAACTTGAAATTCGATCTAACTTTTGAGTAAAAATTTATACTCGACTAGACATAAATACTTATATAAATTTTTTATTAAATAAATATAAACTTAATTTAAAAATATATAAAAATATATTATTATAATTATCTCTAAATATTTAAAATATAATTATATTATTATCGTAAATATTTTTCACCTAAATTTGGTTCGATCTCATCTTTAAAAAAATATAATCTAACATAATTTGGGTTAAATGCTGGTCCCTGTTATTTCTTCCCAAGTTTGAAAGCTTGGAATTTGCGTTGGTTGGTTCGCTATTAGAGATAGGTAGAAGGTTGAAGATAAAAGGTAGAGTATAAAAATCATGTCTACTGCAGACACTTGTTACATCATTATCCCAAGTTAGAAAGTCAATCTTGTCCGGTGTGGAAATCACCTAGTGGCTAATGATGAATGATTTTGATTAATAGGAGTGGGGCCAGGCCTAAGAAACACCAGATTATGCAAAAGCAGCCGAGGAGTGGAGAACAGCCTTATCCTTTCCACCCAAAGGAAATGGCCACTGGCGGCTGCTGACAATCCCCAACACGACAAGACAAAGCTTGAAGATTATGATTTATGCAGGCATTGACACAAAAGAAAGAGATAAAAGTGGTGCATACCAGGAGTACAGTGCCAAGCGTGGGGCCTGTCAGGGCAAAAACACTTGAAATGGTAGCTCCGACGATCAAATCCACACCGTCCACAACTCGTCTTGCAAGCGCTACAGTTACTCGCTCTCCAGTTCAACACAAACCCACCATTCAACAAATCTCCAACAGCTCCAACTCCTTTATGATCAAACGCCACAGGCGCCACTACTGTTTTCACGCAATAACCCGAAGCAAAATTGAGCTTGGGATCATCGTTGAACAGTGCCAAACTTGAATTATTTGCACTTTCATCACCACAATCAATCTTGTACTTGGAAAGTTCCAAGGTCGATCGCGAGGTTAAGTTGCAGTTAAAGAGCAAAACCATTTCTCTACTCATTCGGGGATCAAGATAATAGCGGTCTTCAGGCAAGGATATGTTTCGGATTGAATGGCTACAAACGGCATCTCTCTCGGCTCTTGAAACGTGCAAAGATTGGATCTGATAAAAGATATCGTCGATGATATAGTCGCCATCGGGCAAGCTGAGGATTGGGATTTTGTTGTTTCTGCAATGGATTTTGAATCCTGGATAGCCACATCTGGGTTCGACCTGCCCCTCGATGAAGAATGGAAACGTTATGTTTAGCTTACCACAAGTTCTGGGCACGCTGCAGATTGTAAAGTTTTCGTCCACTCCTAAAGCTGTTCTGACCAGGAAAAGCAAACTCAGTAGGATAAAGGAATTCATTTGGTGGGAATGTTGATTTGTTTCGAAGGGAGTGGTGGGTGTGGGGAAGAAGATGAGCGATTGCAATGGATATTACTATATATTTATATTTTTATTGGGAAAGGAAAATTAGGTGGGGATTTATTATGTGCGAAGTTGGACCTGTTTAATGATCATCTACCCGACCACGAGCATTTGGTTGGATTCTCAATAAAGCATATAAAAAATTATAATATAGAATTTAGCAAGTTATCTTAATCATTAAAATAAATAGTGTTATCTTTATAGATCTTTGGTTCAAATAATTATGTCTATTAAAATATGAGTTATCAATAACTAAAAAAATTAAACAAATATTACCTTAGGAATATCGGCGATTTTCCCGGTATATCACCGGTGATCGGTATTATTACCGATCTAACACCGGTCAGACTATATTTCTCGATCTAACACCCTTAGCAGGAAAGCGCGCCTCCTGTACCGCGTTATACGTTGATTTGGCGCCACGTGGAGTATAGCGCACTCCCTGAACCGCGCTATACGCTGACTGGGTTACACGTTCTTCGCCCGCAAATCTTGAAGCATTGATTCAAACGTTCGAGGAAGTAGTTCGTAACCTAATCAAAAAATGTATAACTTACTAACTTGCTTTCTTTGCAAAATTAAAATGTTCAAAAAATGTATAACTTACTAACTTGCTTTCACTTACCCATGCGCACAATTAATTGACGCTCATCATTCTTCTTGTACATTCCATGATAGTTCGTAGCAATGTGTCGGAGACAATACCTATGTTGGACAAAGGGTGGTTTCCATATTGGACCCAAAGACTCCATTGCTGCTTTGATCCTAGCTCCGCGATCTGAAATGACACAAATTTTTTCCCTCGTGATAACATGTGCACGTAAATTTCGGAGAAAAAAAGCCCAATAATTTGTATCTTCTCCTTCGACAAGAGCAAAAGCAACTGGAAGAATGTTGCGATTGTCATCTTGGACAATTGCCAATAATAAAACTTGCTTGTATTTTCCATACAAGAAAGTCCCGTCGATCTGGACCACAGGCTTGCAGTATTTGGCAGCATTAACGCACTGTGGGTAACTCCAAAAAACCCAGTAGAATTGGCATCGATCACGAAGAACTCGATCATTATGGTATGCATAGGAGGTTTCGAAGTCCACAATTGTCCCAGGATTCAACGTCCGTACCAGCCTAAACCAACCTGGAAGTTCGTTGTAAGATACATCCCATTCGCCATGAAGTTTGACAATGGCATTTTGTTTTGCCAACCAAGCTTTTTTATAAGAGACGGTGTACCCATACTGCGATTGTATAGCTGAAATCAACACTGCAACAGCTATATGAGAGCTTGCTTTTACCATAGGCATGATGGCTTGGCATATCACTTCAGAGTCCAAGTTCGGATGATCTTGGTTGACCCCTCCAGCACAACATGTGTGAGGACCGTTGTATACTGTTAGTTCCCATATGTTGTTTTTCCTCTTCATTTTCGCTACGCGAACCATCCAATTGCATCCGTTTTCGCGTAGGGAACAGTAGCATACATATTTTTCAGTCGTCGATCGGTTGACTATGGACTGAACATAATTACGGGTATTGTAATTTTTGATAGCCATCATCGCTTCTTCTTTGCTTGAAAACTCCATGCCTAAAGATAACTCACAATCATTTATTGATGAGTAATATCCATAGTCACCGAGATGAGGCATATCCGCAAATTCTGGCCCGTACATTGCACCATAATCAGCTTCATACATGTGTGCAGGAGGGTCAGTTTGTGCCATATTTCCTGGAACTTCATCATCATCAGAGTTGAATTGCGGTGATTCTGGGTGAATGAATAGTCCAGTCTCAGCACCATCCGCACCAGGCTCACGAAGCGGTTCTTCTAGTGGAGATGATGGTTCCTCCATGCTCTCCACATTTAGGTCGAAGAACCTACTACTTGCACGCCTTCCCCTTGAACTTGAAGGTATATCGACATTGAGATCAAAAAAGCTCGCAGTCGAATGCCTCCCCCTAGAGCTTGAAGACATCGTGTCAAATGGAAACTGCACAGATGGTTGTGTCGATAGCATCTCCATATTAAGGTCAAAGGGATTTACAGATGAATGCCTTCCCCTTGAACTGGACGCGGTGTTGCCATACGGATTGTTCGTGGACCCACCTCGGTATATATCGTAAGGAGTTGCGGATGAATGTATCCCCATTATGGCATTAAAATCATTACACATTATTGTAGTCGGGTTGTCAACTTGATCAACTTGTTCAGACAGCCCATAGTGTGAGCTTAAAGATTGTCCCCGAACAACACGCACTTGAACAAAATGTGCATACATCTCAATAGCGGCGTCTGAATAATTACTTTGAGCTTCAACCATCATTTAAACATTATCATTGTTCGAAAGTTCGAACGCTGTATAAGTTAATGACAACAATGATGTTGGAAATCTGTACTGCAACGACAACATTCTTCTGTTACTTCCATCATGAATCTTCCTCGAAATCTTTGTTATTAGCTCCTCAAGAGTTATGTTTCTCTTTAATTATATTTTAACACGCTCATTTGATACGAAAACAATGCCGGTTTCATCTTCTCGAATTTCACTATCATAATAAACAATAGCTGAAAGTCGCGCCATTCTTTGAGTTTAAAAGTGCGGCAATATTATATCTGTAAAAAAATAACTTAAACAATCCTGATTAAATAAATTATATATGAACGAAAATATAACACAATAAATTTTTTACACATCAATGTAAATAATTTAAATAATATAATTTTATATTATTACATGCACCGCACAACTATTTCGACGTATGCTCCCGCTTTTCAATTTTACAAACATAAAAATTAATTGAAAATAATTAGTATAATATTTTTTCAAATAATGATAATAAACAATAAGTATAATTAAAAAATTATAACAAAATTACCTTATAACGAAAAATCGCACGAGCTTCTAAATCAAATTTGAGAAGATTGCGAGAATTATTACTCGTTGACGGAATTGTTGTATTAATTTATAAGAGATGAGAGATGCGAGGAGATGTGAGCCGGAGGAGTGTATTTATAAGCATATAAGGCGCAGTACTTGCACCGCGCTATATGTAAAGATACAGCGCGGATCAGGGACCACGTTAAATATAATTTTGGTACGGCGTATACCGCGACCCTTGATCCGCGCTATACCCCTACGTGACGTATAGCGCGGATCAGGGGGCACGCTATACCCCACTTATAACCTAGTCAGCGTATAACGTGGTTCAGGGGCGCGTTATACTCCACGTGGCGCCAAATCAGCGTATAGCGCGGTGCAGGGGGCGCGCTTTCCTGCTAAGGGTGTTAGATCGGGAAATATAGTCTGACCAGTGTTAGATCGGTAATAATACCGACCACCGGTGATATACCGAGAAAATCGCCAGAAATATCCTATATTACTCAAATATATATATAATTCTATTAACGATGTTTATTATAAAAAAAGAAGATACTATATACATATTATAAAAAGTTAAAAAGTGCTTACTAAAATAATAAATTATAAAAACTTACCAAAACCAACATAATTGAATGAAGCAACTTTGAAGGACTATAAACTAAGAATAAGTTGCAGATATACCATCAACTCAAGACAAGTAGCAATCTCACGATACTATTCAAATTATGCAGAAAAATTAGAAAAAGGACGTTGTTGTACTTTGTCACCATGAATTATTGAACCTAATTTTGCTTTTTTTATATTTTAAAGTGCTTAAAAGATAACATTTGTTTAAAATTTTTCTTAATTATTTGCGATGCATATATACCCTGCAGATACAATTACTCAAATCCAAGATTCTAAAGAATAACAACTCCCTTTCATGACTGAAACTACACAATACATTTTTGAATCTTGCATTTATAAAATCATTAAAGATCCTATATAAACTTTTTCATAATCATAGAACTTAGAAAAACAATTAACTTGGAGATAAAATCTCGAAATTTAATGTTTAACATAATGATTATTATTTGAAAAAAAAATAAATATAAATTTTATTGGGTGACTTTAGTAATAAAATAGAATATTGTTCTTCTTAAAAAATTTGAGTTCGAACAATTATATTTATAAGACGTATGTTGTTAATAGATTCTCTGATGGAAACTCCAAATAGGTCATAATGTACTATTAGAGAGCAATAGTAAATCAAGGATGAAAGAAAACCTTGTTCCAAAAGATAATAAATTTGTATAACCTATTTGTGGTGTATTCATGACTATTGAAAAACATTATAATTTGAAAGAAATTCTTGAATGTAACGAATATTATTTTGAGTAGCGATGAGAATCAAAAGATCAGTGCATGATGATAATATTGTTGAAAAGTCAACATTTGAAGTCTAATTTCGGTGGAAATTGTTGAGAAACTTTCGGTGAAAGTGGTGTATTTATTGCACCGAATTCAAGCTGTAATTTGTTGAAAAAATGAAAGGAAAAATTACAAACTTTAGTCTATAAACTTTAGGGTATTTACAGATTAGTCCTTAAGCTTCAACTATAAATATACTATCTCATTTAGCTTCAAAATCATCCCAAATCATTCTAGCTTTCTCCCAATACTAGAGAATTTAGAGAGTTTTCTTGAGAGTTGTGTTCTCATTTTTATCAAGAGAGAATTATATTATTTTTTCCTTGGTAGATCGAGAGAAGTTGTAATTCTTATTTTCTCATAGTGAAATTATTCTACCGTTGCCCATGGTTTTTACCCTATATTATTTAAGGGTTTTTCACGTAAATTTTGTGTCTCTTTTATCTT